TGCCATCCCCTACAGATTTATTTACCCTCTAAGTCATCCTATTTTGCTCCATCTTCTGTAAATGACAAACCAACTCAACAGCCCCTCTTCAGCTCTGGATAATGCATTCAGTAACAACACACCTCCTCCTAATCTCCAAACTATGAATTCTTTTGATAATATTTGTGCCAAACTTTACCCTCAGACACGAAATCTCCACTGCCTCCAGTCTCCTCCTCGCTGCAACATTCAGAGCCCATGCTTCACACCCATATAAGAGTGTTGGTGCCACTAACTCTCATACATGTTCCTTCTTTACCTCCATGGTTAATGTTCTTTTTTTGCACAGATACCTCAGTGCACCACCCACCGTTTTCCTTCATCGGTTCTATGGTTAACCTCATCTTTCATAAACCCATCTACCAGCACATCCACTCCCTCCCTCCAATGTGACACCCAATTTTTCTTTACCTGACTCATTTCATTCCCTCATTGCCTTACTTTTATCTGTGTTCACTTTCAACTTTCTTCCTTTACACACCTTTATAAACTCATCCACTAACCTTTGCAATTTCTCTTCAGAATCTCTCAAAAGCACAGTATCTTCAGCAGAAAGTAACTGTGTCAACTCCCATTTTGTATTTGATTCTATGTATTTTAATCCCACCCCCTCCCCAACACCCTAGCATTTCTTTTTTTTTTCAACCCCATCTATAAATAAGTTAAACAACCATGGTGACATCATGCATCCCTGTCTAAGGTCTCTTTTTACTGGAAAATAATCTCCCTCTCTCCTACACACTTCAACCTGAGTCTCACTATCCTCATAAAATCTCTTTACAGCATTTACTAACTTACTACCTATTCCATATACTTGCAACATCTGCCACATTGCTCCCCTATCCGCCCTATCATATGCCTTTTCTAAATCCATAAAAGCAGCAAAAACATCCCTACCTTTAAATACTGTTCACTTATATGCTTCAATGTAAACACTTGATCTACACATCCCCTACCCATTCTATTAGCCTCTTTGTTCATCTGCAATCCAGCTCTCCATCTTACCCCTAAGTCTATCAATAATAACCCTACCATATGCTTTACCAGGCATGCTTGTAATCATAATTGGAGATCAGTTTTTTTTTTTAACACGTCAGCCGTTTCCCACCGAGGCAGGGTGACCCAAAAAATAAGAAAAAAATTCATCATTATTGAACACTTTTACCATCGCTCATACATAATCACAGTCTTTGCAGAAGCACTTAGATATGACAGTTTAGATGTTCCTCCAAACTGCCAATATCCCAAATCCCTCCTTTAAAGTGCAGGCATTGTATTTTCCATTTCCAGGACTCAAGTCCGGCTAATTAGTTTCCCTGAATCTCGTCACAAAATGTTACCCTTCTCACACTCCAACAGCTTGTCATGTCCCAAAAATAATTTGTCTCCATTCATTCCTATCTAACACGCTCACGTATGCTTGCTAAAAGTCCAAGCCCCTCGCTCACAAAACCTCCTTTACCCCCACCCTCCAACCTTTTCGAGGACGACCCCTTCTGCGTCTTCCTTCCCCTACAGATTTATTCACTCTCCAAGTCATTCTACTTTGTTCCATTCTCTCTAAATGACCAAACCACCTCAACAACCCATCTTCAGCCCACTGACTAATACTTTTAGTAACTGCACACCTCCTCCTAATTTCCACACTATGAATTCTCGGCATAATATTTGCACCACACATTGCTCTTAGACATGACATCTCCACTGCCTCCAGCCTCCTCCATGCTGCAGCATTTACAACCCAGGCTTCGCACCCATATAAGAGCGTTGGTATCACTGTACTCTCGTACATTCCCTTCTTTGCCTCCATGGATAACTTTTTTGTCTCCACAGATACCTCAGCACACCACTAACCTTTTTTCCTTCATTATTTCTATGGTTAACCTCATCCTTCATAAACCCATCTGCTGACAAGTCAACTCCCAAATATCTAAAAACATTCTTTTCTTCCATACTCCCTCCCTCCAATGTGATATCTAATTTTTCTTTATCGTTTAACATCCTCATCCCCTTACTCTTATCTACTTTTACACACCCTCCCAAACTCGTCCACTAACCTTTGCAACTTTTCTTTAGAATCTCCCAAAAGCACAATATCATTAGCAAAAAGTAACTGTGTCAACTCCCATTTTGTATTTGATTCCTCGTAATTTAATCCTACCCCTCTCCCCAACACCCTAGCATTTACTTCTTTTACAACCCCATCTATAAATACTATATTAAACAACCATGGCGACATTACACATTTCTGTCTAAGACCTGCTTTTACTGCAAAGTAATGTCCCACTCTCCTACACACCCTAACCTGAGCTTCACTATCCTCATAAAAACACTTTACAGCATTTAGTAACTTACTACCTATTCCATACACTTGCAACATCTGCCACATTGCTTCCCAGTCCACTCTATCATATGCCTTTTTAAAATCCAAAAATGCAATAAAAACTTCCCTACCTTTATCTATATACTGTTCACATATATGCTTCAATGATCTACACATCCCCTACCCACTCAAAAGTCTCCTTGTTCATCTGCAGTCTGCTCTCTGTCTTACCTCTAGTTCTTTCAGTAATAGCCCCTACCATACACTTTACATGGTATACTCAGTAAACTCATTCCCCTTTAGTTTTTACAATCTCTTTTGTCCCCCTTCCCTTTATATAAAGGAACTATACATGCTCTCTGCCAATCCTACCTTCCCCTCTTTCTTACATTTTTTTTTTTCAACAAGTCAGCCGTCTCCCACCTAGGCAGGGTGACCCAAAAAGAAAGAAAATCCCCAAAACGAAGATACTTTCATCATCATTCAACACTTTCACCTCATTCATACATAATCACTGTTTTTGCAGAGGCACCCAGATACAACAGTTTAGAAGCATATATAAAGATACAGTATAAAAAATGACCTGAAATAATTACAATATCAGGGCCCCAGTTATATATATACCGTCCTATTACACACCCCTCCAAACTGCCAATATCCCAAACCCCTCCTTTAAAGTGCAGGCATTGTACTTCCCAGTTCTAGAACTCAAGTCCAACTATATATTAAACAAAAATGTCAACCACTCAAACACTATATCTCTCCCTGCTTTTAACAATCTGTCATGCCGTCAGTTCCAGCTGCTGTACCACTTTTCATTCTATGTAGTGCCTCACGCACCTCCCCCACACTCATGTCCTGCTGTTCTTCACTCCTTGCCATTGCATGAAATTACTTCCTCCCTTTCATCAACATTTAACCCTTTGAGGATCCGTCCCGTAGATCTACGGCTTTACGTTCAGGGTCCAAACCGTAGATCTACGTCATGAGCTCAGCTCACTCTGATAAACTGTGAGTGGTACATTTGGGCCTAGATATGAGAGAATACATCTATGTGGTATGTGTGCACCATATAAAACAGATCCTGCAGCACACTGTGTATAATGAGAGAAAAAAACTGAAATCATGATTTTTCGATTAAAACAGCGACTGCAGTGTTTTTTCGTATGTTTTTTATAGTTCTATTTGCGATTTCTTGGTCTCATTTGATAGAATGGAAGATATATTACAGAAATAGAGATGATTTTGATTGGTTTTAGCACTGGAAATGGCTTGAAACTGAGCTCAAAGTAGCAGAAATGTTAAATTTTTGCCGATATTCAAGAGTAAACAAACGATCTCACACGTCTAATACACGCCAGCTGGTGGGTCTAATATGCATTCACAAATATGGTGATGATATTTATACAATTATTACAGTATTGCGTAACAGTAAATCTTCTATTTTTTGGTGTGAATAAAAATTCATTATGTGAATAAAAAATCAAAATGGAATTTATTTGTAAAGCTTCAAAACGTAACTAATGAACAGAAGAAATGTTAGTTTAGTTCCAGGAATACCTACATTATTTATTCTGGGCCCTATTTTGAAATTAGAATATTTTGAACTTTGTGTTAAATTGGCCAAATTAACAATTTCCAATCACTTTAATTTGTAGTTGAAACAGTTGACCTGGCAATTTCTTGTGCTCAATCGATAGAATAGAAGTAATACTAGTGAAATAGCTAAGAATTTGGTTGACTGGAATAATGTAATTGGCCTAAAAATGGGAGTCAAAGTCGGCAAAATCGCCGATTCGTAAATATCGCTGACACATCAAAATTCGCGAGAGCATAATTTCGTAAATTTTCCATCAAATTTCGTACTTTTTGTTTTATTACCTTCACAAAAAGATTCTCTACTATTTCATAAGAAAAAATAACAATTTTTTTTTTTTGAAAATTCTTGGACACTGGGGCACCACTTCAGATTTGGGCCTTGGACCCTGAAGGGGTTAAAAGTTCCTCAAAATATTCCCCCCATCTACCCAATACCTCCAGCTCCCCATCTTCTAACTCCCCTACTTTGTTTTTAACTGACAAATCCACTCATTCCCAAGGCTTTCTTAACCTGTTTATCTCCAAAATTTTTTCTTACTTTCGGCAAAATTTCTTGACATTGCCTCTTTCACTCTTATCATTTGTTCTCCTATTTCACTCTTTTCTGCCCTTCTTATATCACTTCTGCTTTGTAAAAACCTCTCATAAGCTACCTTTTTATTTTTTATCGCACCCTTTACCTCATTATTCCACCACTCTCTCTTCTTTCCTCCTGCACCTATGCTCCTATAACCACAAACTTCTGCTCCACATTCTAATGTACTGCATTTTTAAAACTATCCCATCCCTCTTAAACACCCTCCCCCCCCACTACCCATAATGGCACTAGCCCACCTTTCTGCCAATAATTGCTTACATCTCACTTTAATTTCCTCCTCTCTTAGTTTATAAACTTTTACCTCTCTCTTACTTCCTGTTGCATTTATTATACAATTATTTGTTTTCAGAATCTTGTTTGTATGTATGGATCATTGTAATTTGGACATTCATAAATTAGAGACTCCCAGTGTACAATTATTAAGCTTAACCTGATTTTCAGAACACCACAAGGTAAGAAAAGAGCAGAAAAAGAAGCCATAAACCCATTTGATAGAACTATGATCCATCCTGAGTCCTACGAGTGTGGATTAAAATTTACAAGCATAGTTGGTGTACGCCCACAAGACATTGGGTCGGAGCATTTCATCAGAACTGTTCGACACTTCATGCAAACAACAAGTAAGCTCCATGTCCTTGAGAAAGATAATCTATATTTTTTTATTAGCATGCATACTGTCTCCCACCAAGGCTACAGTAATGAAAGGGGGTGGCAATATGTTATACTATGCTGCATTTATTGTTATGAAATTAGTGAAGCACTGTAATACAAACTCTGCTTTGTAGGTTCAAGTCTTGTTGTCTGTGCTACATGCTACCACAGTTTCCTCCTGGAAAGTATTGAACTTCTTTTCAAATGCCTCCCTCTTTGTTCCATTTCCTCTTTCAGGTTTAGAGCCCTTTCCTCGACCTCATTTGCCCTATTTAGCTATTCTGTGATTTTATTCCTTGCCTTCATTGCATATTGCTACAGTTTCTCTCTGAAGGTAATTGACCTTTCCCTCTAGCTTCTCTGTCATTTGGGTCTTCAGGCCATCCATTATCATGCTCAGGTAGTGCAAACTGCATCCTTCATTTCTTTATTCTCACCATTTTTGAGAATGCCTTTACTTTGCCATTTTGTCTTTTGCAAAGACAATTGTGTGCACACGCACATGTGCATGCAAATGTACGTGCTTACATGTGTATTTGTTCGTTACTCTCTTCCACTGTGATTTACAGCTAACCTGTAATTTATAGTGGAAAACTTAGATGTTTCAGTCTCTCCTAAACCATTATTAAGTTGTAACTTGGCAGCTTTCCAGGACAGACTGAAATGTTACCTAAAGTTTCCTCTCCAGATTGTGGGATAGCTGCAGATTTTTTCAGCCACAGTTTTGTGACTTGCATTCTTTCCAGGCTAATGAGACTTCTTATTTGTTGCAGATTTGGAGACAACTAGTGAACAGTGTGGGACATCTGTACCAACTATGCAGCTCATTGTGGAGGGTCTGGCGCAGCCTCTCGACTATGATATCCGAGCCCAGTTTGAGAAACCTTTGTTCAGAAAAGGCATCACTTCCATAGACGATATTAGCTTGGGCACAAAACTAACAGGTGTGCAGCTTATTGCATGTATTAGTAGATTCTACTTGTTGTATAAACTGGAAAGTGTTATTCATATGGGTTTACTCTCAATGAAAACATAATGGAAGGATATTGTAGAGGACACAGTAGGATCCCCTGTGTCTGTGAATACAGTATCTGCGGTTTCAATTATCCACAGTGTACTGTGGCCCGAAAATAAGCCTTAATTTTGCTTAACAATGACACCAAAGCACAAAACTAGTGATGATGGCAGTGCCTCAGAGTCTAAGAGAAGTTGTGCAGTGCTTCCCGTCATTGAAAAGTGCTGTTCCCAACTTATTGTGCATAATTTATCAATTAAATTTTATCATAGGTATGCATGTAAACAAAAAATGACATACATAGGGTTCGCTACTATCCACGGTTTCAGGTATCCATGGTAGGTCTTGGAACATATCCCCTGTGGTTTGGGGAGGACTACTGTATAATGGTAGGATACTGTAGTGCAAGATTATAATGGAAGGATATTGTAGAGCAACTGTCTCCATAACTTGAATTGGAATTTTGAGTTAAAGTACAGAAGAAATTTTAATGCACATAAGAGGATAAGTAGGGATTTTGAAATGGGAACGTATTCATAAATTATTGTTTTTTATTTATCTTGTAAATAAAGCAGATCTTCTTTAAACAAACTGGCCGTGTCCCACAGAAGCAGGGTGGCCCAACAAGAAAAGCAAATTTTCTCTTTTAAACTTCAGTAATGTATACAGAAGAAGGGGTTACTAGCCCTTTCAAATAAATCAGATAAATATCCATTCATTATGTAACAACATTTCACTTTTGTCATGTTCCTGGGAAATAAGTATCATTTCCCAGTTCTTTATAACTAGACAAAATTTAGAAAAGCAGTTTTGACCCCAGAACTTTGCTTTTGTGGTCAGGACACTTCTGCAACACTTTCAAGAAAGACTGATGTAAAACTATTAAGTTCTAGGATTTTGCTTGGCAAATACAGCAGGGCCCCACTTATACAACAGGTTAGGTTCCAGGCTACCGCCATAAAGTGGAAATCGCCGTAAAGTGGAACAACTCTTTTTTCCACTTATAAATGCATACAAATACTAGATAACAAGTTTACACTAACATATATTAAGTTAATAAGTAAGTTTATTCAGATATACACAAATGCAGTTACATAAATTATCATACATAGCAGCATGTGCGTAAAGTACCGAGGATAATCCAAAAAAGTCAGACAGTGTGACTTATTTCCATTGGGGTTAGCAGTAGAACTAGGCATTAAAAAACAATAAAAAAGTAAAATACACATATAGTACACTCATTACTTACCTTAAAATATTTGTAGTTTAAATCTAGGGTGAGACAAGTAGCATTTATTGTAAGAAATCAAGTGTGGTATGTATGGTAGCCAGCCGGGCTACCATACCAGGCCACCCCATCCACACATAATATTCTATAACATTTAACCCTTTGACTGTTTCGGTTGTATATATACGTCTTATGCGCCAATGTTTCCGACGTATTAATACGCATAAATTCTAGCGGCTTCAAATCAAGCAGGAGAAGCTGGTAGCCCACATGTGAGAGAACGGGTCTGTGTGGTCAGTGTGCACCATATAAAAAAAAATCCTGCAACACGCAGTGCATAATGAGAAAAAAAACTCCGACCGTTTTTTTGGATTAAAACGCCGACTTTGAGGTGTATTTTCGTATAGTATTTATCATTGTATTCTCATTTTCATGGTCTCACGTGATAAAATGGAAAACATATTACAGAAATAGAGATGATTTTGATTAGTTTCATGAAAACGGCATTGAAATTGAGCTCAAAGTAGCGGAAATGTTCGATTTTTACTAATGTTCAAGAGTAAGCAAATCGCACCACACGTCCAACACACGTCAACTGGGGAGTCTAATATTCTTTCAATAGTGCACTGATATTATTTATACCATTTTTACAATAATGCAGTAGTCTGCATAACAGTAAATTTTGTATTTTTTGTATGAATAAAAAATCAAAATAGAAAGCAGTAGTAATATAAGAGGGGCCTAGAGACGTGACTAAAGAACAGAGGATGTTATTTTAGTGCCAAGAATGTCTACACTGTTTATTCTGGACCCTATTTTGAAATTGGCATCTTTTTTAGTTTGCGTGAAATTGGCCAAATTGCCAATTTCTGACCACTTTATTGGGTAGTTCAAATTAGTAAATGGGCGGTTTCTTGTATGCAATTGATAGAAAAAAATGGAGTTCTAAAGAAATAGGTATGAGTTTGGTCAACTGGAACAACGGAATTGGCCAAAAATAGGGCCCAGATCGGCGAAATCGCTGATGCGTATATGTCGCCGAGACTGCTAACTTTGTGGGAGTGTAATTCCGTGAGTTTTCAACCAAATTTCGTATTTTTGGTGTCATTACCATCGGGAAAAGATTCTCTATCATTTCACAAGAAAAAACAAATAAAAAAATTTTTTTCCAAAAATTTATCGACATAGAATGACAATCTCAGAAAGGGGCCTGCGACAGTCAAAGGGTTAAGCAGGCATTGTACTTCCCATTTCCAGGACTCAAGTCCGGTAATATAAAATAACCTGTTTCCCTGAATCCCTTCACTAAATATTACCCTGCTCACACTCCAACAGATCGTCAGGTCCCAAATACCATTCGTCTCCATTCACTCCTATCTAACACGCTCACACACACTTGCTGGAAATCCAAGCCCCTCGCCCACACAACCTCCTTTACCCCCTTCCTCCAACCTTTTCGAGGACGACCCCTACCCCGCCTTCCTTCACCTACAGATTTATACGCTCTCCATGTCATTCTACTTTGATCCATTCTCTCTAAATGACCAAACCTCCTCAACAACCCCTCTTCAGCCCTCTGAATAATACTTTTATTAACACCACACCTTCTCCTAATTTCCATACTCTGAATTTTCTGCATAATATTTACACCACACATTGCCCTTAGACAGGACATCTCCACTGCGTCCAACCGCCTCCTCGCTGCAGCATTTACAACCCAAGCTTCACACCCATATAAGAGTGTTGGTACCATATACTTTCATGCATTCCTTTCTTTGCCTCCATAGATAACGTTCTTTGTCTCCACTATTACCTCAATGCACCACTCACCTTTTTTTCCTCATCAATTTTATGATTAACCTCATCCTTCATAAATCCATCTGCTGATACATCAACTCCCAAATGTCCGAAAACATTCACTTCTTCCATACTCCTCTTCCCCAATTTGATATCCAATTTTTCTTTATCTAAATCATTTGATACCCTCATCACCTTACTCTTTTCTATATTCACTTTCAACTTTCTACCTTTACACACACTTTCAAATTCGTCCACTAACCTCTGCAATTTTTCTTTAGAATCACCCATAAGCACAGTATCATCAGGAAAAAGTAACTGTGTCATTTCCTGTTTTTGTCACACACAGACCTTTTTCATCAGGGAGAACTCTTACCTTTCATGGATTTCGTTCTTTGCTCACCCATCCTGGGAAGGGATGTTATATGCAGTGGAACCTCGAGTTTCGGCCGTTTTGAATTTTGGTCACTTTTTTTTGGCTAAATTTTGTCTTGAGTTTTGAACAGTACCCTGAGTTTCAGCCGCTGTACCAGACCTGTCCGCCTGCCGGTGCCCATACAGAACATCTCACCCATGTGTTGTGAGTCAGTCTGGCTTTGTTTCTCCTCGAGTGAACATTACCCTGCTTTTTCATCCAAACATTTCACAATAATCCATTGTTTTTTTGTGCTTATTGATTGAGTGCGACTGCAACATAATTAATGAGCCTGGCCCATGGCTTGGCTCAGAGAGTAGATAAACTCTCGAAACTCTTCAAAGGCATATAAGCATGGGCCGAAAGACACTTCCTACTGCCATCCCTTTGGTAAAGAAAGTGAGAAACATGATTGAATTGAAGAAAGAAATTGTCTTGTTTATTCTGGACCCTATTTGGAAATTGGCATCTTTTGAAATTTGTGTGAAATTGGCAAAATTGCTAATTTCTGACCACTTTATTGGATAGTTGAAATCGTAAATGGGTGGTTTCTTATACTCATTCGATAGAAAAAATGGAGTTCTAGCGAAATAGTTATGATTTTTGTCGACTAGTACACTGGAATGGGCTGAAAATAGGGCTCAAAGTGAGCGAAATTGCCGGTGTGTAAACATCGTCAAGACGGCTAACTTCACAAGAGCATAATTCCATAAGTTTTCCATCAAATTTCATACTTTTGGTGTGATTATGATCGGGAAAAAATTCTCTATCTTTCCATACAAATTTTTTTTTTTTAAATTTTCGACCCTGAAAGGGTTAATATTGTTTATTATGTCATATTAGATCAACTGTGATAGATAAATAAGCTGTAGAGTTGATATTAGCATTATATTGAAGGAGTATCCTGCCCTGTCTCCACACACTCTCCTCCCCGTCTTCCATAAGCCAACAAGAGTCTTCAGTAAAGGTATGTAATGTTTATATTTATTTCTCATTGTTTTCTGTATGTAAAACTATATTCTTCAAAAAATGAATTTCTTGTGAATATTTTTGGGTGTCTGGATTGGATTAATTGGATTTACATTATTTCTTATGGGAAATATTGCTTTGACTTTCAAACAATTTGAGTTTCAGCCGAGCTTCTGGAATGAATTATGGCCGAAACTCGAGGTTCCACTGTATATGCATCTCATTTGTAAGGCTTTATGGGCCATACAGATGAGAAGCAAATTGTACAGAGTTTGGCAAGTGTCAGGTACTTGGCCCACCTCTTTCAACAGGAATTTTCACTTTGAGAAGAATCTCTGTTGATTGAAGATTGGGCACACATACTGAAGAATTTTTTCTTTGCAGGTTCGGTGAGAAATGTGACACACTTTGGAGCATTTGTTGATGTTGGACTTGGCAATGATGGACTTGTTCACACATCTAAAATGGGTGGTATGAGATTAGAACTTGGAAACATAGTGGAAGTTACAGTTATTTCTATTGACAAGGAGCGTGGTCGAATTAGTCTTATGTTAGAGCGAGTGATTGGTTAAATAATAACACAGTATGAACAAATTAATATGATGTGTGCTAGACTGAGTGCTTGGTTAAATATTTTGTAAAGGAATGTGGAAAAAGTAGTCTGATGTTAGAGTGAGTAATTGGTTTAACCCTTCTTCATAAAGTATTTTCTTCAAGCTCATTATCTTTAACTAATGATGCTCTGTGGAAAATGAATGTCCCTTTGGAGTTCATTACTCTAAGTAATAATAAGACGAAGAGGGAGATATCATGTGAGACTTAGCCTGTCCCCTTCATGAGTGTGAGCCAGCAACTTCATCAGTCTTCTACTGAGTATTAATATGATAATATGATCCTAACCAGTACTTTACTTTGGATTGTGATAGGCTCTGCTGTTGCCCCAGATCACTATTTTATGTGAATGCCAATATCATCTTGGGTGCTCAGTGGTTGTTGCAGGTATCAGGATTACCACTGAACCAATGAGTATAAAACCAGTCTAGACTTGCTTTAATATTCATTTGTGTAGTGGTAACATGACTGCTACAGTGAGTTGAGTCCTACACATTCTCTGACTCATGTTGTTGCATTCGTGATTATGTAAAATTTTAATTTTTGGTGACAGGAATTTAGTGTTATATGAACAAATTTTACCTTGAAAATGAGTTGACAAAAGAATTTCTGTAAAAAAAAAAAAAAGGAATTTTGGACAACAGTGGGGTTGACCACATCCAGAAACTAAAATGGGTGAGTTTGTTGATTTCATAAGTTGCCTTTTGTTGAAGGGAAGTTCTTGAGATAAAGATGTTTGGGTTACAGATAGATCAGTTATTGCTCTAGCTAATGAATTCTGTGGGGTGTGCATGTGATATAAAAGTGAAAATGAAAGATGCGTAGAGAATGTATACACAACTTGACTTACTGGAGTTTATAAAAAAAAATTGTTTCTCTAGAGAAATGATGGAAAGAACTCTTGCTTATTTTTGGGAAAAAAATAAACTATTTAACAGCTAATGTATTGTATATGCAACCTTTGCTAAGTGTGTGAGTGGTGAATATACATGTGCCTTGTTGCAAAATATTTTGGAAATGAATTATATCATGAGGTGAAATAAATATAGAAAAAAACATTTGAAGTATTAAAGAGACAGCTAGTGATGCTGTATTTACCAGTTTGGAAACTGTTTGCTGTTAGAAATCCTACTTGCATGAGATGTATGAATGGCAGATAATTGCATTCTTATTTCTGCTTTATAATGTATATAAATGACAAATGATGTGATCTTTTGACTAAGAGACTTCTCTTATCTTAATACGTATCTGACTGACTTCACTATTGTGTATTGATCATAGCAATTCAGTTTACCATTGGGAATGTTAAGGTAAGCTTCGTTAAGTGGAAATATAAAAAACTGTTTGATATTAAGAGACTGTCATATTTTTCCAGAAACCCTTTTAAATGTCTGAAGTGTCAGACCTTGTTGCAAGAATCGCAAAACTCTTGAAGCTGGTCATAGGAAAGTTGAAAGTTTGGTAATGTTCTGTAGTTGTCTTCCGAAGTTGATTCTACTGAAAAATACAAAGTTCAATTACACATCCACAGCTTTAAGCATAGTCTCTAATGCTGAAAGTTTAGCACTTCAGTAAATACATTACGTTACCATTGAAGTGTATTACTATACAGTATGTTAAAACTAGAGATGGTAAGGGTCGTATTATTGTATTGTTCTTTTGTAGTAGTCATCATGATTTTCTATGAAAATCTGTAAAAATAAGCTTTTAATTTTTGTTATCATCAAAGGTACAAACTACAACTAAATATTTAATTATGAAATTCTCGTAGTATAACATTCTTTACCTTTATTGTACATGTACAGTTTTGTATCACAGTATTAGACTGTTGACCTATAGGCAATCCCAAATATGTTAAGAATCACTGGATATCTATACAACAGCAATATAATTCTTTTAAGTATTAAGCTATTTTTAGTTTCATTCATGATTTAGCTAAAGTCATTTAATTGTTTCAATAACAGTTGATTATCAAATAATGATAACAGTTAATGAAAGCTCAAAGGTGTGAGAAGTTCTGAAGAAACAGTATGATAACAGTTACCTGTTATCTGTTAAGGGTTATGGGGATAATCTTCCCCACTGTCCAGTATCAGACCAGGCCTCCTTGATTGAAAAGAGGATAAAGAGGCATTGGCAGCCATTTTGTACAGTTGCTGGGATTAGTGTCATTGTCACTGATCAGTAAAAAAGTGAAAAATCATTTGGAGAGAAAAGTGAAAAACAGGTGAAGATATCTGCTGAAGAGGGTCTCTGACTGAAGGTGAGATATTAACATGTCTTTTTTTCCCAGTATTCCATTTTTTGTCCAAGTGATTTCTTACTTTATTTTGTAGAATACTGTTCTACATTTATAGCAAAACTGTCTTTTAATAGAAACAAAGCTGTATGAACTATGTGAGTTCAGTACTTCTTTTTCAGTATATTAATGACAAGGAAATTTTATGAAATTTAAATTTTGTAAGCCACAAGACGTACATGGATCTTTTTTTTCCACATCATTTGGAATTGCCAATTTGCCATACTAATTATAGAATTTAATGTCTGTGATGTTTTGTAATTGTAGGTAATTTTGACCATAAAATATCAGGCTTCTACACCCAGGCATTTTTTATTAATTTGATGTGCTTGATTGTTAGTTATGTTTGTGTGTTGTGTTTAGGCTATTTGTCTACTTCATCTACTCATTCCTAAAAAAAAAAAAAGTTCAGATAGTGTGAACAGTAGTGCAGTGGCTTATGGACACTTAGTGACTAAGATTTTAGGTAAATTTAACCCTAGAGAAGAATGTTGTACTCCTAGAAAGTCTTCATCCATTATACCTAGGTATTCTGCACCTGGTGAGGACAGATATTAACATATTATTATTCTAATCAGAATTTATTGTTGATATTAATAAAGATATAAAGAATCACTGAAGTGATAATGAAGCTTATCACCTTTACATTGTATTTGACAACCCATATCCATGAATCTCTCACTTGAGTTTAACTTATCTTTCTGTGTTTGCTAATTAATTGCCACTTCAGCCCAAATTTGTTTCGCACTTAAGTTAAATATTATAGACAGGTGATGTGGATGTTAATGCAGCACTGTCCAATATATTGTACATCTGACTGGTAAACTGACATGGTAAACCCTTGATATAACCTACCTTGGTATAATGGACCTTGATATAACAGACCTTGATATAACAAACCTTTATTTAACGGACCTTCATATAACAGACTTTTAAAATAACGCTTGATAAATTGTATTTGTAGCTCCTTTAATTTGAAATTTGATTGCAGTAGAGCTGTAAATTTTGTGTACAACACTATTTTAGATATACAGTAGAGTACTTCAGTTTTTTCTGTTTTTAGCATTATTCTGATTTAACAGACACTCAGACAGTCCCTCACTTAGTTCACTGTGTAGAAGGTTTAGTGATATTTATGATAGACAATCACATCTACAAATCTGCAGGCTTCTGTATTTTGTAGATTTTAATTATCATACATTTTTACTGATGAACAACCAGTGAATTGGTTCAGTTATCCAATGTTTTTCTACTCATTGGCTTAGTCACACCCAGATCTCTCTTGATTTTGGTTGTTATTTCTTTTGAATGTCAACATAAACCAGATTTGAGTGATGTAAATCAATCACTCATTATCCAGCTGTGATGCAAGGGGAAGGGTGCACTAGACTTCCTAAAACTTTAGGTAATGGATGATATGCCTCCTATTATTTTTACAACCCATTTTTAGCATTATCTATTTAGATGTTGCATATGTAAGGGAAGGGATAGAGAAAGGGGTAGAAGGAAGCAATGAGGGCTAGAGAGAATGTAGGTGGTTAGGATTAGGAAGAAAGTGGTCTTGTTGGTGGTTGGGGAAAAAATGAGAGAGAGATGGATGAGATGGTGATAAGGAGGAAGGGAAGTGATTTTGGTGAGTGGAGGTAGGGATGAAGTGTATTGGTGTTGGTGGGTGGGGGGTATGGAGAGAGGGACAAGGCTGGTGGTGGTGGCTGGGGATAGGGAGAGGGAAGTTGATGTTGGTGGGTGGGGATAGGGAGGGGGAAGGGCAATTTGAGGGGGTAGGGAGAGAGGAAAGATGGTGGTGGGTAGAGGTAGTGAGAAATGAGGAAGGTGTTGGTTGGTGAGGGAAAAGAAGGGAAGGAATACAGTGAGGTGAGAGTAGGGAGAGAGGAACGGTGTAGTGGTGGATAATGGTATGAGGTTCAGCATATGGCTCCTAGACATGTAGGTTTATCAGCTGTCTTGCATCACAGTATTGTCTTAAAATAGCTACCAGATTTTAAATAAAATACTGGTAGCTCATTTATATCTACACATTACATAAATTATGTAAATATCAGCAAATGCTTAAATTGTCAGCAAACCATCTTGTCTGTTTAAACAGTCTCTCACCTGTGGTGCCAGGAACAAGGAAAGAAGGGGTGATGGTGAAGGAAGGAAGGGACGGAAGAAATTGTAACATTTGGTGATGGGAGGGAGAGAGAGAGGTTGATGGTGGGTGGAGGCAGGAAATGTGTATTAGTGGTGGGTGGTGGAAAGGTTTCAGTAACCAATATGAAATTGAGTTGCTAGATAAAGAATACACAGTTACACTGAGTATATTTAACCTTAATTTAATCCACATTTTTGATATGTACATCCTTGAAATTATTGAATCAAGAGCCCTACAGAAGTGTGAAGACAGGTGGATGAGTGGCCACATTCATCCTTATCACTGTCATGAACACTAATTTGGGTGGAGGTGAGAGTGAGGCAACCCCACTTGAACCCCCCACATTATAACCCCCACCAGAGCATTGCTATCAGTGCCACCAGCTATAATGTGCACTTTGTGAATAAACACCCTAAAGCTGCTAGTATCCATCACTGAAACACCTGTGATGTACTGAACAGTAACAGCACAAATATGTGATCAAGGTGATCACACTGTCCTTTCATGCTGTCCCTTCAACACTTACCACAACCCAACAAACCTCCAACACCCTGAGACCTAGTGAAAACACTCCTGCTTCTTTACAAACTACATTCTCCCAACAAATACCTTACACATTAACTACTGCGTCTCCTCACTTACCGAAGTTCTTGTTTACTGACGACACGGACTTGCGACAGGCTCTCTGACCAGTATGCATACCTAAATAATGTATATTAGATCTGATTCCCTCTGTTCTGTTTATTACAATATACAGTACACTACTGTATAAACATTAAAAAATATACCAGAAATGTTATAAATGGTGCAAATGTGATATTAAAACATTATCAAAGATGGTTGACACAAATTCACTACCATTATAGTATGCTCCTCACTTAGCAATGAATTTGTTTACTGACAAGGTCTCAGGAACAGAACTCCATCGTTAAGTGAGGAGAGGCTGTACTGCTTCATTTATCATAGAAATACACATAACCCCCATGCACTTTTCCTGTTCTCCGTAGATATTACATGATAGTTCTATGTTACAGGCTCCTACATCACTTGGGGCATCTAGCCCCTCTCAACCCCTGTCTTCCCTTGATAGTTCTTGTATGAGGTAAGGATGGGAAATAAGTTACGAGAAAGGTGTTGCACTGGAATCAAATATATTTTTGTGCCAAATCCTATGTACCACACTATAGCTCAACCCCTCAAGGTAGGTTCCTGGCTGTCGATGAGAGGCTTTTGATCCAAGGAACTAGACTTGTCCTCTCTTTCCTTGGATCATACCTGATTGCATACCATTCCTCGAGGCTCTGTGACCTATATGGATTTAGCAATATCCCATGAATGTAGTAATATGTACATAGCTCAAAGGGACTTGACATGAGCCAACTTTACATTGTAAGAAACTGTGTTTAACCCTTTCAGGGTTTCGGCCGTACTAGTAAGGGCTTACGCACCAGGGTTTTTGATGTACTAGTACACCTAAATTCTAGCACC